AGTGGGCAGGGGGCTGTGTTTGTCAGAGGAAATAAAACAGGATGAGGCGCTCATGATTATTCATGGGAGCGCTGCTGTTATCTGGTCTTCTTTCGCATCGAAATAAATTCTTCACCCCCAGGAGGGGACAGGTTCTGTTCAATTTCCAGTCTAGACCACTAACTCCCTGAATCAGCTTCAGGGAATCTTTCCAGATGAAAGGACATTAAGGAGCTTGAGAAGAATGTCTAGTATCTTTTCCTGAAATGATGGGAGGGGTGTTTGATCTAGAGTTCCTGGTCTGGTCAGTATGAACTTTATTGGCTGCATTGACATAACAGTAGATCAACTGGTCAAAAACGAATCTTTAGTCAGAGGGATTTTGGCACTCCCTGCCAAAAAACTACATGGATTCAACTTCTCGAAAACTCAATTCAGGCTTGCCCGTTTCTGTTCACAGATTGTAAGGGCAGATACCTGATACAAGATTACAGTATGTAGGGATTAGGATTTGTGGACTCTATTTCCTTACCCCGCTCAGTTGTTCTGTATCATCACACAAGAATATTGAAAGTTGCCCATTCCTAATAATAATTGTAATAACACAGTAATAACTATTGCTATGTCTACTTATATTATGGCTGGCTTTGAATAAGAATCTACTCTGTATTGGAGCTTTCTATTCCAGATGTTACTTAAAAGTCACCCTAGTCTTAGGAGGTAAGTTGCTATTTTATCTGTTGAACAAAAGAAAATTCAGAGGCTCAAAGAGCCGGCAACCTCTAGAGCAGAAAAGATGCACTTGGGCAGATGTACTTCACCTTGATGTTAATGGTTAGGAAAGGAACAAGGAAACAGTCCATGCCTTTTCTTTTCAAGTGGCATATGAATATGCCAACACAGTCTATTCTTAAATAGCAAAGTCTTCCACAGTTACTTCGTGTATAGACGATTGAGATGTAAGGCAAATGATCCCAACCCAGTTCGGCAAGAGTATTATTATATATGCACATATGTAGATAACTTTAATCAGATCAAGCCTATGGAGAAGGAGAGGCAGGGTCAGATGACAGCAGCTGAGAGCTCTTCATGACCTGCACAAAGCCCCGTGTTTTCATTGGTAGGGCCAATTCTTATGCCTAAACCTGGCAGGTGCTCCCCTAGGTTCAGAGTGGAGGGGGTGGTAGTAGAGCTTTACAGATAAATTAAGTCCAGCTATGCGTCTCTCCTCAAATTATTCTTAATCTAGAGGGTTAACCAGAAACATACACGGCCTGGAAAGACTGCAAGACTGCGGCATTTGAGATGAGAACTAATTGGATAGAATAAAATCCCCATGTTTCTTTCAGCCAGTACGATCAAGCTGCTTTCAAGTGGAGATTTAGCAGCCCAGTCACTCTTTACGGAGAGAACTCAAAATGATGGAAAATATCACGAGTCAGTAGCCTTTCACGTTACAGCTTTTGACAAAATGTGGGGTGGGATGGTATTCCCCCATTTATCTTTCTTACTGTCCTCTGCTCTCCAGCCAAGTGTGTACTCGGGGTTTAAAGAACACTTGAGGAGTTCCTAGAAAACAGATGAACAGTGCATGGCAAACGGTTGCGTGAAATGTGCTGACGGGGGAAAGACAGATTTCCTTTGCCTCAGTACTTTGTATCAAAAGACACTTTGAGAAAGCCCAAGGCGGCACAGGGGCATGATGCCAAATGGGCCTTCCACTGCGCCTGAGGTTACCGAGCAAACTTCTCCTTTCGTCCACGCAAAGCTGACTGTCACCTTCTAGCAGTGGCTGGTTTATGGACTGCTAATGCTTCAAAAATGAGATTCAATCAGGTCCGTGGTCTTTATTACAAGGAAGATATATGCCCCTTGTGAATTCCAGCGGTTGGGCAATCTTAACCGCAGCAGACATAACATTGATGTATTCTGTGTTGCCAAACAGAATGGTAAGTGTTTAAAATGCGGCGAACAGCCTTATGGCCTTGAAATGATACAATCTAATATTAGATTGTAACTCAGTGACTGGATCCGCGAGCCTAGCCTTGTCCAGACTACTAAAGCCCAGCCACTTTGTTTTAATGTTTCCCAGGGAAGGCCTCGTTCCTCATTTCACGGTGGAAAGAGAGAACATGTCCACGGGCATCGAGATTGCAGGACGCCCAGACGGCACCGGACCGGGCCATTTTTCCTGAACAGCGCCCAGGCGCTTTCTTTGGTCCCAAGGCATCCGAATGCCAGCCTGATGCGCTGCAGGCGGCAGAACTGCTCTGACCCTGGGGACCGCGGACGGGTGGGACCTGCGAGCTCGGAAGTTCTCCCAAGACAGAGCCGAGGGGCCCCCTCCCCTGCGCTGGGAGCCGTCCTGGAAAGCAGCCCCTTTGGCGCAGCGCTCGTTCCTGGCTCCTCGTTCTCAGTCGTGGGGGCCACCCGTCCTCGCTGCACTTCGTGCTCCTCAGTGCGTCTTCAGACCTCATCCCTCGAAGGGCCCAGGCGGCCCACAGCCTCGGTGTTCGAGATCGGGCTGTCCCTCCGCCGTCTCCTGGGCCGGGGGCTGTCCTGCACCCGCAAGCCCGTCTGTCATCCCTAAAGCAGGCAGGGGACCGAGGCGGGGTGGACCACCCTCCTCGATTTGCCTGGCCTCGAAGGGCTTCCCGGAACACGCAACCTTCAAGGGCTTCGGGCCGGGTTAGCCCAGGGCAACCCAGGATGACTGGCCACTCGACCGCTAGTGAGACCCTCCCCAGCTGGGACACCTCTGCCGAGGTAGAATCTTGGTGAAGGGACTACGGAAGAATCTGTCTTCGTCAGGGTGGGTTGCCGGGTGGCCTACACACAGCATTCGTTCATTCCTGGCCGCCTGTCTGGAGGCCGGAAGCCTGAGCACCAGCACCAGGGGTCTGGGGGGAGGGCCCTCCTCGCGTGTCCGACCATCGACTTCTCGTACCCTCTCGTGGTGAAGGGAGCCAGATTGCTCTCAGAGGGTGCTTTGGCCAGGGCGCTAATCGCAAATCCCCTCCCAGAGGCCCCCCGCCTAATGCAACTTGCAGTTGGGATTTCAACAAAGGCATTTTGGGAGGAAGAAACCCTCGGTCTTTGAGAGTTCTTAGAGGGGGAAAGAAGCCACGGAAGAGGGGTTGGAAGCTGGATCTGGGGTCTGATGGCAGAGCGATGAGATCTAATTCTCATGGCTTTATCTGACAAAGTCCCCGCTCTTGGATTTCAGCGTTCTGGAATAATCACCAGAAGACTGCATGGAGGGGTGGTGTTCCTGCCTCATCGTTATGCTTTTTGGTACTGCGGAAAATAAGTTTTTATTCTGATCCATCTTCCAGGATGCGACTAGACAAAATGGAACAGGGAAAGGAAACCTATATCAAATGATTAAGTAACAGCCTATTGGTTCATTTTTTTTTAAGCCGAGAACTAAAGATTAAGTTGAAATCAGCCCTGCAAATCTGTTTATACATATGTAGCTTAAATTTATTTCAAGAGGTATTCATTTGTCTTGCTTTATGATCTGTGCTAAAATTTAAAAAAATAAAAATCACAGCTCAGCTTTCAATTAAATCAGTACAGAAAAAAGTAAAAATCTGATTCTTCACCCTGGGGCCAAAATAAGTAATTATGAGCTGTCTTCTCACCAGAATAGTTGTACAGAAATATCAATATCATAAATTCTGGAATGTTCAATGCTGTTTCTTTATCAGGGTTCACATAAGAGCAACATATTCCAGTGAAAAGAAAAGCTGCTCATCTTATCACCCAGCTGTTGAGCCAACATACTACCAAGCATCAAGATATTTGGAAGCACTAGTGGAAATTTTTATTTCTCACTTCTGGTCTATATGTTGCAGGTCATGCCACTATAATTAAGATAAAATTCACTATTCCGAAAGCCAAACGAAAAATTGACTTTGCAGAACTCCAACATTTAATGAAGCTATAAAATGAAATCAAGAAATTATTTTTCTAATGTTTTTCTATTAATGAACAGTCATCCCTTAGATACAGTGGTAAATCAACTTGGGACAGCCTTACTTAAAAAAAAAAAAATCTCAGAATGTTATGTTGATGGTTTAGGTCCATCTACTGTTTTCTAAGCCAATTTAAGGAGAAAAGTCAGTCAAGATCATAAGGGAATAAACAAACCTTTTTACGTCTTTCCTTTTTAAAAACAAATGTATATTATGAGTGGGAATGTAGTCATTACGGAAACCAGTACAGAGGTTCATCAAAAAGTAAAACTAGAATTACCATATGATGTAACAAGCCTCTTCTGGGTATATGCTCAAAGGAATTAAAATCAGTGTGTTGAAGAAATCTCTACATCCCATGTTCCCTGCAGCATTATTCACAACAGCCAAGACGTATGTCAACCTACGTGCCCACCAGTCGATGAACAGAGAGAGATAATATAGGATATAAACACTATTCAGCCTTACAAAAGAAATAAACCTTTATTTGTGACAGCATGCATGGTCCTGGAGGATGTTAGTTTAAGTGAAATAAGCCAGGCACCGAAAGACAAATACTGTGTGATCTTACTTGCACGTAGAATCTAAAAAAGTCAAGCCCAAACAGATGGAGAGTAGAAGGGTAGTTGCTAGAGATTTGAGCAGGGAGGAGGATCGGAAATGTTGGTCACCAAAGTGTATAAAGTTTCAGTCAGGTGGGAAGGGTACGTCTTAGAGACCTATTGCACAGCGTGGTGACCAAAGTTAATAACTGAAAATATGCTTATCATTTTAATTATATTTTAAAACTGCCACAAGAGTAGATTTTACATGTTCTCCCAACAAACAAATGATAAGCATATGAGGTGCTATTAATCAGCTGGATATAATCATTCTATAAGGGATGCATATATCAAAACCTGACATTGTTTCCTATAAGTATATAATTATTTGTCAATTAAACAATGAAATGTAAATTGCTTTCGCAAATGCTATTTTCTCGCATCCAAAAGGGAATAAGAAGAGATTAAGAAGAAGGAAGCAGAGCCGGAAGACCCCACCTACCTGCTACGGCAACTTTCGCTGTCCGACTGACAATGGACCCAGCATCTCCTACAGATGCCTCACATTGGTAGAGTCCCTCATCTGGCTTATGGTGTCTGGAATGAAGTATGTTCTGTATGAACAGAGACCCATTGGAGAGCTGCTGCTTCCGGTCATCCGATCCCAAGACCAGGTGGATGCCATCCTTCTTCCACTTGATCGCCGGCACGCCCCGGTCAGACTCCGCAGAGCAGTCAAGGAGGACGTTTCCTCCCCGCATGGTGATGGCATCAGAAGGTTCTGAGAGGAAGCGCAGGGCTGTGAACGCTTTGATTTGGAAACCTGGAACGAGAGAGCACAGCAAATGCGTTCATGCGTCCGAAAACATCTCAGGCTTGAATTTCCTGCCTTTTTGTTACAAAGCTTTGCAAAAAGGTTGGGGGCCTTGGAAAGTATCCAAGAGTAAATGAAATTAAAACCCATGGCTCTTGTGTCAGTAAGTGAAGAAGTTCCCAGTGGAGGTCACCACAATCAAGGAAACAGTTGGCTCCAGAAGGATTATTAAGCGACATTAAGGATTCATTTAAATCCAGGCATGGCTATTACTACTTATCAGTTAGTTATTTTCCAAATAAAAAGAAATATTTTAAGAAACTTAAAAAAAATCTGCTCAGACATAGGATTATATATTTAAAAAAAAAAAACAACTCTGAACAGTGTGAGCAAAGTTTTTTAGAACCAAGCTCAGGTGGGTTTTAAAATGGGTAAATCCCACTTGAGAAAGCAAGTCAATGAAGTTATTGCCTAAAACCGCAAATCCCAGAAGTGTCTTAATTTTCATCCAAATGTTTCTCACTGGGCCTGGAAATTCAAATAAATACTATAGTTGAGTTTTTTTTTTTTTTATAAACATAAATAAACATAAAGAATCAACAGGAGGAAACAGAAAGTCAATTAAGAACCTTGAGGAGATGGAACAAGTGTAATTAGTTAAAGAAGGTTCTGTGAGGGGCTGGCAGTACAGCATTTGACAGAATACTCAGTTGTTGAATCAAAGACCTTGATGAGGTCTCAAGAAGGCACTGGGCTCACTCTTTGCTCAGAAAGGGGCATGCCTAAATCATTCAATCATTCAAGTCAAATCACTTTGCATTTCATTTTAAGCAATCTCTGGGGCTGGATTCTACAGTGTCCCTTGGTATCTTGTTTTTAATATTTAATCACTTTAAGAGTTTAACTGGATTTTCTTGCCACTGTTTGATCCCATATTCTCCTGAATGTGCTTCTGTGCTTGTGTGAAAAATGCAGAAGAGATGGACGTTTTCTTGTAAGAGCCTTTAATTCTTTTGGAACAGCATTTCATGTCTTAAAAGATACTCCCTAAATTATGTTTCAGCTTTCATTTTTCTCAGGATAGCAAGGTCACCTTCATTCGCTGTCTTAATTTTTTTCTGTAACGGGAAGCGTTCTAGTTGTACTTTGTAAAAACGTTTTGGTTTTCTATCATTTAACAGGCAGTCATCAATAAGGGTACTTGCACAATGAACAGTTGTATACCTAACCCTGAATTGTATCCCACAATTTCAAAATAAAAATTAAAAAAAAAAAAAAGGCAGGCATCTAGGTTGCATGTAATCAGTGCTATCCTAAAGGACTGGCCTAATAATGCAACGATGTCTGGCTCCGGGCGCTCCATTGTCCAGTGAAGGCAAGCAAAGCAGCTCCCTCCTGTTTCTCCCTGCTCTATCCGCCTTGCTTCTGCAAATTCAACTCTTCTCAACCTCACGTTTAAAGGCTGTTACCTCGCCCGGTGAATTGCGTCATTCATGTTGTACACTCATTCCATTCACCTTCACCACTTGCCCCCCAAAAGCATCTGAAACATTGCACTAGTTAGCAAAAATTGTGACATGGCAGTGAGCATTTGCATCTACTATGAAGGATGTTGATAAGGAGTGTGACACCAGCCTACTGTCCTCATTGTCAAAAAAGTTCCTTCTGCCTACAGGCTCTTTCTGTGTAGCCACCCTAATTACAGTACATGCCGTTTTAGAAGAAGCACATTGAGTTGAGAGTCTGGATATCTAGCTGTAGTCCTGACTTGATTACTTGAAGATCTGGGCCTCAGACAGGTCTCTTAAGCCCGCAGAACCTTAGAGTCCCTCATTTGCAAAACGAAGAAATTGAACTAGGTGATCTCTAAATGCAACATCTTGTTTGGAAACGTTTGGGACTAGAATGGGTTGAGAGCAACTATCAAATAAACCCTGCAGTAAGCACGCTGAAATGAAGGCTGATTTTGCTCTAAATACATGATCTCTTCCTTTACCAGAAAGAAACACAAGCTAGCAAACACCTGGTTTAAGAAACACTGAGGATGAAAAAGCTGAAAGAAGTTCTAATGTCCTTGACGGTCAAGATATTTCACTAGAATAATACCCACAATTTCCATACAAGTGGCATTAATAAGGTAGAAATAAATTTAGAATTCAAGGCCAGGGAACTATATTAAAAAGCATTTATTGTTTTTATTTGTTCTTCCTGAGGCCTGTATTTTAAGCACAACCTCATATTGAGCACCTTATTTATGTCACAGAACACATAATACATTTAACACAGCTGTTTATGACAGCGTGTTAATGAACACAAGTGCCCATTATCACAAATAAATAATCCACTGAGTCTGAAACGGGGAGGTTATGACAATCTTCAGTGCTGTGAGTGCGTAGCTTAGGAAAGTTAAATAGAGATTAACTTTTCTTTAACACGATTCCTCTGGCAAATGAGTTCACTGGCAATTTGAGGTTTTTTGTACTCTTTATAACAATTCTATTTGAATATGTGCTTCTGGAATCAAAGTATCTCACTGCTCTAAGTAACTTGCATTAGTTCCTTAGCTTTTAGAAAAGGTCGACCCAGGCAGACCAAGCCCTTTAAGAAATAATAGACCCATCTCCAACCGTCCTTTTTATCTGTTTTAGCCCATGTTGGTCACAGGCCTTCTCAACTCTCTTGTGGGGCGTTTCACACAGAACTAAGAAATGCCCCACCAATAATTTACATTGATTTCAATGCAGGTTCCTCTCCACCCTTCCTCTTAGAATACTAGTTCCTTTCTGAGATATTTTGCCCCCGGTATATCGTATATTAATACGAACTAATTTTATGAAATTGTTTCATCCAAAATCAATTTGAAATCACGACACCGATTAATGTATGAAGAGAGGAAGATAAAAATATGACAAAACTGAATAAGACAAAAAATAACTTTGAAGCTTATAGCTCAAAACGTGGTCTGGAATTCAGGCACTAGGTTCTCCTGGGAACTGGGTGGAAGAGGTGATAGGAATGCCAAGAAAATGCATTTGAGAGTCAGAGGGAAGCTGCCTACTTGCAACACTGCAAGGAGTTTTGCATTAAAATAAAAATGGCTGAGATTTCACCTAAGAGAAAGCCTAATAGCGAAGGTTGTTTCATTCGGTTTTATTTTTAAGTTGCTTAGTGGTCACTCTCTTGAACCTTCACACAGTTACGTTTCCCAGCCTGTTTCATAAAGGAAACAGTCCTTTTGGCCCTGCTATGAAATGACTTAAGGCAATTATATTTTGGAGATATAGACTTGAAAGTACCCAAATCCTGTCCATTAAAAAACTTGTACAACTGAGTCTGACATTTGTCTCTAGCTCTCTCACCCTCCAAATGTTGGCTTGAGAAGATTTCTAAATCTTTTTGGCTAAAATGTAGGCATAAAGCCGTATGTGCATTCAACTCAAGGCTAGTTTTTCTTATTTGAGTCGGTCTGCGGAAAGTCATTGTCGGAGCGTCACGGGAGCTCCTTCCTCTTCCCCTCATCCCCTTCCTTCTCCTTCTCTTTTTGCTCCTTTTCTCCATTTTCTTCTGTCATCAGTAACTAGTAAGCAGACACCATGTTTTCTAAGGAGTGACCCAAGGAGAAGTTTTATCATCTATTTGTTTTAGTTTTGTCAGAAGTAAATAAGCATCAGAATAATACCGCCAAGGACATTGCAAGTTTGTATTCATTATCTAAAAATAGAAAAGCTTCTTAATATATCTTAAAATTCATCAAAATTATCTGATAGTAAGAAAGTTTTTGTAAATTTATGCCCCTTTGTGCTTGCTCTCCTTACTATCTTCTTGTTAATTCAAAGTCCATTCAATCACAGAGGCAGACAAATTTAAAATGGGGTTTTTAAGGTACGACATTTTATCTACAATATCAAACATTGTTAAGTGTGAAAAATAATTCCCCACAGAGGCAGAAATCTCTTTCCAGGTCCAAAATGTAAAAGCTTCTGGTTAAGGCAATAGAAGCTAAAAATGAAATTTATGAAAAATAACATAAGGTGAAAAAAAAAAAAGCTCTTGAAAGATTTTGAGATTAGAAAATGTCATACAAATCCCCATAGAACTTGCTATGCATAATTTTTTTTCTCTTTCAAATTACACACAATTTCACATTGGGATGCTTGGAGTTTCTGATGATCCCTGAATCCTCATCATCAGAAAACCATATCACCTTCGTGTCTTTCTAGAAATGTATGCAACCACATTTACTTTTTCTGTTAAGATAAAGAGATCTGCACTGAAGGAAATGAAAATAAATCTGTGGACGACCCAATCCACTTTTAACACATCAACACCAATTACATGTGCAACTGTAAGTCTGGTCTTCAGCCCTGGAGATAGCTTATAATACTTTTGAGGCTATGCTCTAAAGAAGGGGGTTAAAAAAAAAAACACAAACAAACAAACATGAATTACCAGAATCCCTAACCAGATGTGACCTTTCCTGGCTTTAGGAAACTGGAATGTCCTAACCTTCTGAAACTATGGTTCTCGAAGAGCAACGTCTTCTGGGAACCTGCTGGAAATGAATGGTCTCAAGGGATACAATGGTCACTAGAGGCCGGGAAGAGACACAGGGAAAGAGTATAGGTCGAAGTTGGTTAGGGGATACAAAACTGCAGTAGATGAGAGGAATACGTTCTAGTATTCTATAGCACTGTGAGGTGACTACGGTGAAAAAGAATTTACCGTAAATACTTTCAAACAGCTAGAAGAGAGGATTTTGAATGTTCACAATACAAATAAATGTTTGAGGTGATGGAGATGCTAATGACTCCAATTTGATCATGACACATTGTATACATATATCAAAATATCGCTCACCACCCCATAAATGTGTACAGTTATTGTCAATAAAAAATAAAGAAATGCACAATCGCACGTCATGCCTCATATCAACCGAATCAGCCACTAAGGAAGCTAAGCCCAGGAACCTATTAGATGCTTTCCAGGGAAATCTCATGTGAACCAAAGCTTGAGAACTCTGCTCCAAAACATCGGGTGGCCTCAATTAGAGCAAGGGGCCTCTGTATTTCTTAGCCTTCTTGTCATCATTTTTTCACATTGGGGTTTTGTGCAGTTTTGATTGATTCTTTTTCTAAGTACGGAGATGCAGTTATGGGGAAGAGCTTTGAAGGCAAATAATCAAGCATCTCTAACAACACGTATTTTATGAATCCTTATTATATATTTCTCTTTGAAAAGCTGAAAAACAGTGAAGAAAGAATGCTACTTTTTGCAGTATCTAGTCTTTCCTCTATTGTAGCCTGCACTCTGTTTGGGCCCCCACTGGCCTGACTCCACTAAGCAAAATAAAAATCCCACGGTAAGTTGGACATTTAGAATGCTCCTTGGAATATTCTTGGTTCTTCACACAAGGAACTTTAAGATTTCTTCTGAACTGCCACAATAGCTAAAATCCTCTCCCCAGTGAAGTTTTGGTCAATATAGTATTCTTCATAGCACTGTCTTTTTAAAATTACATTTCAGCTTTGCAGTACAATTATACCTCTTAAAATCTCGGCGCTCTAGACACTCATCTGGCTGACCTACCCCTCAGTCTCTAGGGGCAAAACCACAAGGGACCTTTACTGTGTCGCAGCATGAGGATGCAACCTCTAGACTTCTGTTAACACAAGACTGACTTCAGCGAGTGCAGAGAGACAAAAAACCAGCACTAATGACCACTGGGGTTTCTCTCAAGCACTTATGTTTTTTTCCCCCACTTTGATAAGACATAGTAAAGTTAATTTTCAGAAGATGTGTTCATATCTTTAAAAGCTTATGTTCATTCCAGTCATTGCCAGAAACTAACATATTTTGAAACTGTTTAACTTTAAGACACACTTTTATTACTTGCAAATGCAAATCAGAAATGAATTAGGTTTTGTGAAATGTATTCCTGCATCTAAATAAAGCAAAGAAAGACTGACCAGGAATGAAAATAGGTGTATTTTACTATGGGAATTTATTAAGGATCATTAAAATGTAGGGAAGCTATGGATGAAAATGTAAATGAAAAATTTAAAAGGAACATCAAAGATTCTCCCTCATTAGAGTTACTCAGTTTAGCAAACAAAAAATAAGGGTGCAGGTTATATGTGAATGTCATATAAAGAACAAATAATATTTTCATACAAACACGTCCTAAATCCTTACACCAAATAAATATTGCATAAGATCCACTTATACTAAAATCGTATTTATTATTTGCCCCAAATCCAAATTTTCCTGGGCTTCTTAGATTTTATCTGGCAAGCCCATCACTCATAAGATTCCTTTTTTTAGACCCTGGCAAAAGTAAGTACACAATAAATAAATTCATACTACCCCACTCAGGGTCACACTTCTAGAGAAGAGTGAACTCTTGGAACGCCACCGTGATTGAATCAAGAGAAGTGACTTTAGTGTCGGGACATTCACTGACCTAGTGCAACACCACCAAATATCCACGCCCAAATGGCGCTGGGCTCGATTTGCTCCCGACACCGTGATTCTTTTCCCTTCCCTTTAAGCCAGCAAACAAAATTAGGAAAGGTAAATGCAAGATGTGGAGTTCAAGAAGCAGCTGAAATCTTTTCATGAGCCCACACAGAGGCTCCACAGCAGACATTCTGAGCACCTGGCATCTTCCACAAAGCAGAGAAAGCTTTGCAGAGATCTGAGGCTTTCAAAGGGCAAGAAATGTGTGCCCCGGGCAACTGTCAGAGTGTCCTCCGGCTACATCCAAGGGGAAAGAATGATAAGGGCCAAGTTAGAGTGGGGGAGTCACTTCCTTATTCCTTTGCAGCTCCAAGAGTTAAATCGCTTGATTTTGCTGTGTGATGCCAGACAAATTGCCGTGCAGTTTTTTTCAGCTGAACAGGTAACACATTCGGACATTTAGGTTATCATTCCTCAGGCCTCATGCAAACTTAACACTTAAAAGAGAAACTTTGATGTGTTGCTTAATCTGCCCTGGGTTTAAAACTGTCCCCCTCTCCGTTTGGTAAAATATAAACTAGCTTTCTCTTCCCTTGTGTTTCTCATCAGTCTTTCTCAGTGTAGGGAAAGGGATGGCATTTTATGAATGCAGAGCTGTCAATTAGAGCATTAAGAAGGGTTCTTGGAAGGATTTAGAAAAATTTCAATGGGGACTCAGTGCATGGGATCATCTCTCTCTTGATGGCAGCCAAGTGGGCAAGCCTTACAGAGGCCACTCACTGTGCAGTGACTGATCAACTTGGAACCTTATTGTTGCTCAAGTTACCCATGTTTACTGTGCACAGACAAGAAATATGAGTATAAAACCATACATCATAATCACAGCTCTTAAGCCTGCTTACCCAGTGATAACAACCCTTAAAGTTTGTGTGCATTTCTCTCCAAGAAACTATTCATTTCTTTATTAATAACAGTTTGCTTTATTATCCACATGGTTGTGACCCTTCTTGACAACCAAATTTGATTCTTGTTATTGCAAGGATCCTTCTATACCCATTTTTAATTGGATGGTTTTCCATTAGGTTTTCTCAAAAAGGAACTGATTTGTGCTGCATCTCATAGTTTTTGCTTCTATTTGGAAGATGTTGTGGTTTTTAGTGGCAAATTTACTGGCATATTTTGTCAGTAAGCTTGTTGAACCTGAAATGTTATTTTAGATAAGGTCAAGGGTGGGGGGGTGCACTGAAAAATGCAAGCGCTGGGCTCGGTGGTTCAGCCTGTAATCCTGCGCTTTGGGAGGCTGAGATGAGTGGATTGCCTGAGCCCGCAGGGTCGAGACCCGCCCAGGCAACTTGGCAAGACCTCATCTCTACAATAAATCAAAAAATGAGCCGGGCGTGGTAGCACGCGCCTGTAGTTCCAGCTACTTGGAAGGCTGAGGTGGAAGGATCGCCGGAGCCCAGCAGGTCGAGGCTGCGATGGCCGGGAGCGGCCACTGCACTCCAGGCTGGCCAACAGAGTGAGACTTCAACTCAAAAAAAAAAAAAAAAAAAAAGAAAGAAAAATGCAAGCGAAATAATGCACTTCAGAATACTCTTTTGTTTTTATTGTAATAGTTAAGCATGGCGAAGATCTTAAAAATACCCCCATGCCATCCATTCACCTCATATTTATTGAGCACCTACTGTGTCTGTCAATGTTCAAGGCTGAGGATGCAGCAGTAAAACAAACAGCTCGATAGTCCCTATACTTCCAGGTCTTCTATCTAGTAGGAGGGGATAGACGGTAAACAACGAACTGAGCAAATATGCACAGTGTCAGAAGAAACTAAATGCTATAAAGGAAAGCAGAGCGGGAAAGTCAATAGAGTTGTGGGATAATGGAGAAGGCGTCTCTGAGATGGGTCAGAGCAGAGATCTAGAAGTTGTGAGGAAGGAAGGATGCTGTCTTAATCTGCTTAGGCTGCCATCACAAAATACTGTAGACGGAGTGTCTTAAAAAGTAGATGCATTTCTCCTCATTCT